GCCTTCCTACTTTGGAGGACAGCTTTTCTGTTTAGAGATATTTGAGTTTTCAATAAAGACAGGCTTTGTTGGCTGTCATTTGAGGCTGCCTGGGTGGATTTTCTAAGAGCTGCTATGTGTGCTTTAACACCCTCCAGGCTGATGGAGGCAGATCACACCAGTGGGAAACAGAGTGTACCCACCTAGAATTGTGGAGAGGGAGGTTGGCAACTGTTCCTCTGGGGTGGATTCTCCCCTGTGCCCAGGGAAAACCCAGGGTACAGCAACCTGCCACCCAGGTGGAAGCCATGGCCAAAGATTAGTGCCACACAACCATCAGGTCCCATTTAGGGCCACCCAGTGAGTACTTGGCCAGTGCAACAAGTCAGTGACAAACTAGTTGCTGTACTTCAATATGATGGAGTAACTGCACAGATCCAGTGATGTCCATCCCCTATCCCTGGCCTCATTAGGTTGGTTCTGTTTAGATTTTTCTGTTCCAGCATAGGGCTCTCTGGGTGCTCAGATGTCCATAACCTGGGGTAAGTCACATAAACTCCTCCCATTCTGCACACAGCCACCCATGGCTCTAATAATGATTTGTTGTTGTTGTTGTTTTAAATGATACTTGCAGTCAGTTTGACAGGCTGCCTGTGTAGTTTGACAGAAAAAGAATACTCTTACCCATTGTTATGGGTCGTGTATGCCAAAGTCCAGGTCTCTGGATCAGTATTGATAATGTCAGATTGTTGACCTGAAACAAATAGACTGTCAGATATTTCTTCAATAAAGATGGGATTAGGGACTTCCCTGGTGGTCCAGTGGTTAAGAATCTGCCTGCCAATGCAGGGGACACAGGTTCAATCCTGGTCGGGGAACTAAGATCCCACATGCCACGGGGCAAATAAGCCCACACACTCTGGAGCCCCCCACGCCACAATTAGAGAAGCCCTCATGCTGCAGTGAAGATCCTGCATGCCACAACTGAGACCTGACGCAGCCAAATAAGTAAATTTAAAAAAATAAAGATGGGCTTATTTGGGATCAGCAGAGAGTTACAAATCAGGGTCCAAAACTATGGCAAGGCACATGCTATTTCCTGCATGGCAAAGGCAGGGGAATACTTTTTTTAAAAAATTATTTATTTTTGGCTGCATTGTGTCTTTGTTGCTGTGTGTGGCTTTCTCTAGAAAATAAAGATGGGCTTATTTGGGATCAGCAGAGAGTTACAAATCAGGGTCCAAAACTATGGCAAGGCACATGCTATTTCCTGCATGGCAAAGGCAGGGGAATACTTTTTTTAAAAAATTATTTATTTTTGGCTGCATTGTGTCTTTGTTGCTGTGTGTGGGCTTTCTCTAGTTGCGGCGAGCGGGGGCTACTCTTCATTGCAGTGCACGGGCTTCTCATTGCAGTGGCTTCTCTTGTTGTGGAGCACGGGCTGTAGGCCCACAGGCTTCAGTGGTTGTGGCACCCGGGCTCAGTAGTTGTGGCTTGCGGACTCTAGAGTGCAGGCTCAGTAGTTGTGGCGCAAGGGCTTAGTTGCTCTGCAGCATGTGGGATCTTCTTGGACCAGGGCTTGAACCCGTGTCCTCTGCATTGGCAGGCGGATTCTTAGCCACTGAGCCACGATGGTAGCCCCGGAACACTTTTATAGACAGGAAAAGGGTGTTGGGAGGGCTGTAGTAAACAAAGAGTCCATGGCTTTTCATTGGCTGAGTCTTTGCCAAGAAAGGAGTCTTTCTTCTTCCTGTTGGACATTGCAGGGCATGACAGCTCCCCTTTCTGGTCTCCAAACTGTATTTAATTAAGGCTTCCGTTTATTGTTTTACATTTACTTGGTTTTTTATAAGTTAATTTTTTTATTGGCGTATAGTTGCTTTACAATATTGTGTTCGTTTCTGCTGTATAGCAAAGTGAATCAGCCATACATATACATATAACCACTCTGTTCTAGACTCCATTCCCATATAGGTCATTATAGAGCACCAAATAGAGTTCCCTGTGCTCTACAGTAGGTTCTTATTAGTTAACTTTTATATATAGTAGTGTGTACACATCAATCCCAATTTCCCAGTTTATCTTCCCCCACCAGCCCTTTCCCCTTTGGTAACCATAAGTTTGTTTTCTACATCTGTGACTCAATTTCTGTTTTGTAAATAGGTTCATTTGTACCATTTTCTTAGATCCCACATATAAGTGACATCATATGATATTTGTCTTTCTCTGTCTGACTTACTGCACTCAGTATGACAATCTCTAGTTCCATCCATGTTGCTTCAAATGGCATTTTTTCATTCTTTTTTATGGCTGAGTAATATTCCATGGTATATATGTACCACATCTTCTTTATCCATCACCTGTTAGTGATTTAATCGGCTGCTTTAATGCTCCATTTTTCCTTTCTACCAACCCTGCTGCTTGCGGGTTACAGGGGAGATAGAACCTCCACTCAATGCCAAGTTCTTTTGCTCAGTCTTGCACATCACGACCTTTGAGATGTGACCCCTGATCACCATCTGTTGGATTAGAGTATGCATGCATGTGACTCAGCCCCTCCAATCCCCTGCTAGCGGTCAACTGGTTTCCCTGTCACCAGGAGGCAGCTTGGGTTAAACCCGACACAGTGTCCACACAAACCAAGGTGTATTTAGAACCTTCACTCGCACGGAGGAGGCCGGTGTAACCATTTGCCAGCCACTCCCTGGTCGGCAACTCCATAGATGGCCCCAGACTCCTTTGACGGTTGCCTTGGACGTTGTTTAGAACACTCTGAGAAAGCCCTTCCTTTTTCCTTTCTGTTTCCTCCTGGTTGTTGTCAAGAGAAAGCCTCTGTGTGATGCTGAGCCTCTAATGCCCCCCACCCCGTTACTAATTTCCCTTTTCAGCAGAGGGAGCAGGCCTAACAAGACCCGTGAGCTCCCTGAGATGGTGGAGCATTATTTTTATTTCATGAGTATTTTCATGGTGAACTTCATTTGTGAGAAGTCAGGTTTGTTTTCCTAATTAGCAGAGAAGCTAATACGCTTCTTAGAATACAATCTAAAAAAAAAAAAAAAGAATACAATCTATTTAAGACGGTGTACATCAGTTTAAAGAGAATAAAATTAGTAACGATTATCACAGCTAAGGTCTCCTTTTCCTTTCAGCTGTCATACTGTAAACAATGTCCTTTCTGTGATCTATTTAGTACCACATTAATGCTTTTTGGTGGTGATTTCACTGTTGAAAATGGCGCTTAAGTGTAGTGTTTATGTGCTGTATGGTGTTCCTAACCTAAGCACAAGGCTGTGATGTGCCTTAGAAAGAAAATAGGTATTAGATCAGCTTTGTTGAGTCATGAGTTACAGAACTGTTGGCTGTGAGTTCAGTGTTCATATGACAACAATACATAGCAAGGTGTCTTTGGATAGGAACACTCATGAAACAATGTTATATATTGATCAGTTGGCAAACAAGCTGTGACCCAAGGTTCTTGGGAACCCAAATCTGTATTTCCTCTAAAAGCAATGGTTTTTGATGCAGAAATCAGTAGTGCAAGCATTTAATTAGTGAAACGAAAAGACTGCTTTTGAGAACATAACTTCCGTGAATAATGGTGGTTATATAAAACATAGCTACCATGATAATGAGAAGTAACTGTGTTTTTTCTTTGGCCTCACCACGTGGCATGCGGGATCTTAATTCCCCGACCAGCAATTGAACCTGCACCCTCCGCAGTGAAAGCATGGAGTCCTAAACACTGGACCACCAGGGAAGTCCCTGACTGTACTTTAATACTGTTTTTTTTTTTTTCTTGGCCACGCTGTTCAGGTGGTGGGAACCTTAGTTCCCTGACCAGGGACTGAACCTGGGGCCACAGCAGTGAAAGCGTGGAGTCCTAACCACTGGACTGCCAAGGGATTCCTGCTAACACACTTATTTTTAAAGCACAGGTGATTATCACCATTTCTCATTCCTAATCGTTATATTGTGTTTTACCATTATGTATGTTCCTGAGGTTTTGACTCCCGAACATGGAACAGAATACCAAGTTGTGTTTCTGCACATCTCTTTCCGATTCCATGTTGTGTGATGTTGTGACAGCTTGAGATGGGCCCTGGAGGGAGTATTTACATGAGGGATATTGACAAACACTACCAACACGGGCTTGTCCTATTGATGTTTAGACTTTAGAAAGTGATGAACAATATGTTAATAGAGCAGATTACACTAAAGTGTATGGTATCTATGGCTGTTACGTTATGAATAGCACAAAACATTGAGGATGTAGTCTTCAGTTCTCAAAAACAATTGTTATTAAAAAAAATTGTTATAGACTTGTGCCTCATGGCCCAATATATAGTTGAAGCTTTAACCCTAATCCAACTGTATCTGGCGTTAGGGCATTCAAAGAAGTAATTAAGGTTAAATGAGATCATTAGGGTTGGGATCTAACACAACATAATTACTGTTTTTATAATGAAAGGGAAAGACACCAGGGAGGCAGTCACACAGAGAAAAGCCACGTAAGCACACAGCAAGATAGTGGCCATCTGCAAGCCAAGGAGAGAGGCCTCAGGAGAAACCATCCTCAATGGCGCCTTGAACTCTGTCTTCTAGTTTCCAGACCCAGATCCAGTTTCCTCTGTGCGTAGATGCACAGAGAGAGCGCCCTCTGCTGTCTCTTCCTCTTCTTATAAGGACACTAGTCCTGTCAGATCAGGCCTTATTTACCCTGAACTACCATCTTAAAAGCCCTATCGCCAAATATAGTCAAATTGGGCATTAGGCCTTCAAATAAGAATGGTGGCAGGGGAGAGGAGAGAGATAATTCAGTCTATAACACAGTACAGTACTAAGGTAAAGGCCTTTACCCCATGTGAACATGCTGATGTCTTAGGGGGAATTCCCTGGCAGTCGGTGGTTAGGACTCTGGGCTTCCATTTTAGGGGGCACGGGTTCAATCCCTGGTCAGGGAACTAAGATCCCGCATGCCGTGCGGCACGGTTAAAAGAAAAAAAATTGATGTCTTAGGAAACTGGAGTTGGAAGCAAAGGATTTGCTACAATCCCTGCACTCATAGGGCCTTTCTCCTGTGTGAACCCTAGTGTTTAAAACAGATTTAGGCTCTGTTGGGACTTCCCTGGTGGTCTAGTGGGTAAGACTCTGAGCTGCCCATGCAGGGGGCCCGGGTTCAATCCCTGGTCGGTAAACTAGATCCCACATGCATGCCACAACTATTTGGCACGGCCAAATAAGTAAATATTTAATTTTAATTTTTTTTTTTTTTTTTTGCGGTACGCGGGCTTCTCACTGTTGTGGCCTCTCCCGTTGCGGAGCACAGGCTCCGGACGCGCAGGCTCAGCGGCCATGGCTCACGGGCCCAGCCCCTCCACGGCATGTGGGATCTTCCCGGACTGCGGCACGAACCCGTGTCCCCTGCATTGGCAGATGGACTCTCAACCACTGCGCCACCAGGGAAGCCCCTTATTTTAATTTTTTTAAATAAATTTATTTATTGATATATGGCCACGTTGGGTCTTCGTTGCTGTGCATGGGCTTTCTCTAGTTGCGGCGAGCGGGGGCTACTTTTCGTTGTGGTGTGCAGGCTTCTCATTATGGTGGCTTCTCTTGTTGCAGAGCATGGGCTCTAGGCACACGGGCTTCAGTAGTTGTGGCATGCGGGCTCAGCAGTTGTGGCTCACCGGCTCTAGACCGCAGGCTCAGTAGTTGTGGCTCACAGGCTTAGTTGCTCCGTGGCATGTGGGATCTTCCCAGACCAGGGTTCAAACCTGTGTCCCCCGCATTGGCAGGCGGATTCCTAACCACTGTGACACCAGGGAAGTCCCTAAATAAATATTTTTTAAATAATAAAATAAAACAGATTTAGGCTGTATAGGCAAGAAGGGCGAATGCCTTTCATATGAATTTCAAACTTTCTGTGCCTCAGAGGGGACAGTTTGATGGTGGAAAATAGGTTCCAAGTTTTGGCCAAGAATAGGTTGCTGTCCATGGGCCTCCTGGGAAAGAGGGCTGGGCTTTGTGGCCCTCATTTGGGACCGGATGCCATGAGCTTTAGAAGACTCAGAGGAGGGGTCAGTGTGACAATCTCAAGTGCTTCTGGGAGCAGCATGAATTTTCCCGCTTGTTCACAAGGCCTAACAGCACTGATAAGGGGAATGTCTTCTTCAGATCTTGCCAAGAGCTGTGTCCCCTGACGTCCAGA